TGCACCAGAGAGTCTGCTTCACTCCAGTGTGTAGCCTGGAGGCAGAGACAGCATCTTTCACAGAACCCGGCATATCCTGGGCACCTAGGCGGTGTTTGTTGAACAAGTAAATTCTGAAGCTTTTGAAGGTTGTAGCCATATGTGTATAATTGAAGCTCTTGGCTCCAGCTGGTTTTAAGAGAGTGTTATTGACTGAAGAAAGCAGAAGTACCGGTGAAACAGATTTTATACATGTGGTCTAGTTATTAACCTCGTAAAACTCTTTATGATCTTTTGCATTTTATACCTCTTTACTTTTATTTTTTGCCCAAGTAACCCATAAACTGAGTAATTCATAGCTCCTACTTCTTGCCAACTACTAATGTATATTATTAAATCTGACCACAGTGATTTATTAATTAGAAGTCTTTTGGTTATTAGCAAAAATCAATTTGATTTAGCGTATGTCAGTAAAAGGAAGGGGCTTATGTGATGAAGAGACGGGCTGTCTCGTAGAATCCCAGAAACACAGCTAGGCTTCAGGAAGAACTGGTCCCGAGAAGTAGAAGGCCAGCGGGAATCCTGCGTGTCCTTTTTGTTTATCTCTGCCCCTCCGTGGATAGCGGGTGGCTTCCTGTAACCCTCAGCTTTGGCAGCCCATTTCCAGCCATGTGGATAACCTGTCTCTCCATCTCAATTCCATATTCCCTAAGACCGTGGCATGGCTTAAACTCTGATCCAGTCAGCTCTGCCAAGGGCATGGGGTCAGGCTGGGCAAGCCTGTCTGCCTCCGCTCAGCCCTGAGGAGTAAGTAGGTGGGACGTGGAAGAAAGGGAAGGGAGGACAGCAGACATACTGTGTGCTGGGCAGACACTCCAGAAGTACCTGATGCAGGGATAAAGACCTGGGACATATGAACAGTTGACTGTACAATCATTTCTAGGTAATTTTGGCTAAAAATTTTTCAATCTTAGAAGAAACTTTAAAGATTTACTTTGAAAAAATATTTATCTTTGAATGTGAGTATAATTTGAGATTCTTAAGGTAATAGCATATTCACTGAAGTAGTTAGTTCTAGCTCTGTGTATATGTACAGCACTTTTTATGCATGATACTGGCTTCAGTTGCTAGGAGACAAGTTCCAGCATAGCTTTAATAGATATAAAAGGTTAGACTGGCATGTATGTGAAGTTTTCTAGTAGCCGCATTAAAAATGTAAAATGAAACAGGTGAGATTCATTTTGAAAGAATGTTTTATTTGGCTCAACATCTCCCCAAAGTTACAATTTCATGAACATAAGGACTATTAATTAAGTATTTTCTGTTTTTTTAAAAATCTTTGAAATCCGGTATGTATTTTGTATTCCAATGCATCTCAGTTTGGACTGGTCACATTTCAAGTGGTCAGTCACTACGTGTAGCTAGTGGTTACCATTATTGGACAGCATAGTTCTAGAAACAGTTAAAGTAATCCATTTTCTTTCATAGTTGCTCTAAAATTTTCTTGTCAAAGGCATCAGTACTTATGTATTGTTCTTTTCAAAATACGCTTCAGCAGCAACAGCAGAGCACCCTGGGAGGTAGAGATTTTTCAGCTTGCCCTGAAAGAGTTGCCCATGTAGAGGGTTCGCCGTGTGCCATGTGTATTGACAGAACAGAACAGCATTTTCAAACCAGTCACTTGGCTGTAAAGGCTGGTTCTTGTTCTTCCTAGACTACTGATTCCTGGGATGTTACTTAAACTCCTTGGAAGCCTCTGTTTGCTTATCTATTAAAATATGGTTTGTACCCAGTGCGGCCAGAACACGGTGAGTGCTATCCACACAGAGCGGTATCTGTCTGCAGCGCCCCGCCCTCCCCGTAGCAGGACTAAACTGAACCAGTGAACCTAAATAAGAGATCACCTCCGCCCGCCTGTGTCAGGGCGGAAATTAGACAAACAAACACGGTATTTTTCACAGAACTAGAACAAATAATTTCACAATTTGTATGGAAATACAAAAAACCTCGAATAGCCAAAGTAACCTTGAGAAAGAAGAATGGAACTGGAGGAATCAACCTGCCTGACTTCAGACTATACTACAAAGCCACAGTCATCAAGACAGTATGGTACTGGCACAAAGACAGAAATATAGATCAATGGAACA